TATTATACTTAACTAGAGGTATAGCAAGGTACTTCTTCAACTACATCATCGATCTTACTAAGCCAGTGACAATAACCTTTTCATAATACTAAATTTATCCATTGCTTAAAGTTGCACTTTTTTAATTCTGAAATTTTATTAACTTTAATTTGGTAAAAGTATTAACATAGGAAAAGTACTCTGACTCTAACAAACACTACACATCAGTAAATTACAGAGGTTCCTCAGAGTGACATTGTTTTCTAATTTAGATATTCCATATATTCTTCTAAACGCTATTATTTAAAGTATGCTTATGTGGAGCAAAAGAGAAACTAGATTTTTTTTTACAAACACTACTGATACTAATATTTCACAAATTGCAATCTTCTAAACTCTGCATTTACTTATTTTTTATCAATATCTACTAAATGAACTTCTTCTATGTGCCTAACTATATGTAATTTGTTCACTAATATATCCCCAGCACCAAGCACAATCCCTGACATAGTAGGCACACAACAAAACTATTAAATACATGAATTAAAATTTGGGGTACTGTTAAGCAATAACAGAACAAAAGTTTTAATTTAAAAAAACTGAAATTTCATATTTTTTTGAATTCTAACAGAAAATCATCCCTTAAACCATGACACATTTATATAGATAATAAGCACATATATTTGCTATGGACTGTCCTAGAGTCTCGGCTAGACAAAGTGGTATCAAATAGAGCTTAAAAGTAGATCAAGACTCCAGATGAACTCAGATCAAGAGTTTTCTCTAGTATCTTACAAAGAGCAGGGGAAGGGAGATTAATGAGCCACGATTAGGAAGAATGTCAAAAACTAGAGAAGGAAGTGCTGAGAACAGGGACAGAATTTATTTCTGAGAAAGGATCTTCTCATAGATTAAGAAATAACTTTGGAGAATCATTAAGAGCTATAAAATACTAACTAAAGGTAATTAGCAAATTAATCTACATCTTCCACCCTGGGATTAGGAAATTACGGTTGAAGAATTCACTTCAGATGGTCCTTCCATCTACCTACTTTTCAAAGTGGCTTCCTGGCAGAATTAGAATATCATACATATCAAGAGCATTCCCCTCAAATACTACCAGTATTTCATTTTAAGGAACAGTTCATTGAGTGTATAACATAAAAGGTGTTTGTTTGTGTTTCCACTGGCAGCATTTGATCTTGGCACTACATCTAACCACTACTGGTTAAGTCCACAGTTAGAAGTAAAAAAAAATTAAAATAACTAATACAATACACACCACAACATGCTGTGAAGCTAATGAAGTCAGAAATCAGATTCAGCCATGTAGACAAGAGAGGGAGATTTAGACCTTCACAATCTTTTCATTTTCAAGTTTTACAGGGCTACCAAGATCATTGATGATACCAACAGATTTAAAATGAAAAGAGAAAGGTATGATATAATTTAAATTTTAGAAATTATATTATTCTTGCTTTTGCTCTAGGGCCATGTACTACACAGTAGGCAAACAATCATAGTGATTGGGGAATTAATGAATGGATGAATGAATATGTATATAAATAGATCTAAGAAAGAAATTTTTGTGAAAAACAAATCACTACTGGTGCTAAATATATAATTATTTATACTATTATATATTTTTGAGATATTTAATAATTTAAATTAATAATTTAAATTAATATGATTTCTATACCTATGCTATTTTTTAAAATCAAGGTGATGATATTTACTAACCAAAGAATTTTAAAAATATTAAATTAAAACTTCAAGAATTCTTTCCAATTTATAGATTCCATAAACTGGTTTCATAAATCATTAGAACTATCTAATGCAGGAAACCCTTCAAATGACATCATGAGTGAAAGCTGGAATAACAAAAGCAATGTATAGTTATTTGAACAATTATTATACTCTCAGTAAATCTCACTGTGTTGATATTGCCTAAAATGTAACTTTTAAAATAAATATTACATTCATTTGTACTTACTGTTATTGGTGATACACAAGAAAATAACTGTGCAAAAATATAGTTATATAAAAAATACATTCAAAATTACTTGTATGTGACTTCTGCTTCTACCCATGATAGAATAAGGATTTACCTTCCTATCTCCAACAGCAAAAAATAAAACAAAAATTATCAATGACAATCTTCAAACATTGGAAATAAGCAGCAAGAGATAAAGAGATAAAGAGAAGGGAAACAAATGAAGTGAGCCTTCTGATTGTCCCATGTTCTTTCTCGAAGGCAATTTCCAGTCTACAGTGCAAGAAAGGGGATTCAAAACAGATCCCAGGGCACTCCCTGACTTGGAGGGACAGACTGAAAATTGGGAAGGCCAAGGTGTCTGTCATTTGAGAACATAATACTGGAGAATATGTAACAGACAGTGAAAGCTTGAAAAATAGGTAGAAGAGTTCATTTTAATCTCTGGTTTAGTAATTCTTTGTGCATTTACAAGAGGAGGTCGTGGAAAAAAAAAAAAAAAGAATACTGGAAGGTATTAGGCTGAACGATTACAGAGTTCATAGAAAGGTAGGAATAATTTGTTTTTCTACCAGCTATAGGAAAAAAATAATAATAATACGGGAGCCATCAGAAGAAACTTTAAAATGGTAATGCCTAAATAGTGAGGGTTAAATTAGTCCTAGATTAAGTGCTGCTCTGTAGAACTGAGCCAAACAGTTCTACAGAGCAGCACTTAAGAGAATACAACAAAATTCATCACCAATAGTATAAAATCCACATTGTTCCTATCCATTAAAAAATTCCCAGTGTGCAAAGCAGCAGAACAATAACCACAGCTGGAGAAAATTAGTTAATAAAAACAATGGAAAAATGACAAAGATGATGGAATTATCAGACATTAAAGCAGCTATTTTCCATATCTTTGAAAAGGTGTAGGAAAATATGACCATCATGACTAAAGTTATGTAAGATGTAAAAAAAAGGATACAAATACTATTTCTAGAGATAAAAAAAGTACAATGTCTGAAAAAATACACTAAATAAAATTGATAACATATTAGCATGCTAGCTAATCCCTGCAGAGTAAAAGATAAGTAAACTTCAGACACAGCAAAAAAAAAAAAGAAAGAAAGAAAGAAAGAAAGAAAGAAAAACAAAGAAACAAAGAAAGAAAAACAAAGAAACAAAGAAAACTAAAAGAACTATCCAAAAATGAACCATAGAGAGAAAAAAAAAGAATATAAAGCAAAAGAATATGAGCGAACTTTGTGGCTGAATCCAGCAATCTAACATATATGCAATAGAAGTCTGAGAATAAAGAGCGATAGGGAATATATTTTAATATATTTTAATAGTGGTCATTTTCTCCCTATTTTTATACAGAGTACAAAACCACAGACGTGAGAAGCTCATTAAATCCAAAACAGAAGAAGGATGGAAACAACAAGGCACATCATGGTTAGATTGCTTAAAATCAGTCATAAAAAGAAACATCTAAAAACAGAAAAAAAGACATTACATAGATAAGGATTATAGCAGACTTTTTGTCAGAAACTATGCAAATGATATAAAAATAGAACATCTTTTAAGTGCTGAAATTAAAAAAAACTATCAATCTAAATTCTATATTTAGCAAAATAATAAATTTTTAAAATAATGAAATAAAGAGGTTTTCAGGTAAAAATCACAGAAATAATTTATTACCAATAGACATGTATGAAAAGAAATGTTAAGAAAGACATGAAAATGATGCCACATTTAATTTGCATCTATGCAAAGCTAATTAAAAAAACTTATTTTATTTTATTATTAGTTTCAAGTATACAGTACATTGGTTAGACATTTATGTAGTTTATAATCAATCCCCCTGATTGCTCTTTCTCTCCTCTGGCTCTATACTTCATCATTACATTAATGCTGACTATATTCCCTATGCCATGTTCCTCATCCCCGTGACCATCTATCAACTATTAATTTGTACTTTCTTAACCCTTCACCTCTTTCTCCCAGCCCTCTTAACGCCCCTCCACTCTGGCCGTCACCAGATTGTCCTCTATTTTTATGAATTTGTTTTTGATTAATTAAAAAAACCTTGAAATGGTCAATATGGGGGAGAATGTACAAAACTATTCTCATTTTCAATTCTTTAAAACATAATCTACTGCTTAAAGTGGAAAAATAACAATGTATCACGAGTATGATAGGTTGAATATTAGATCTCTAAAGATGTTCACTTCCTAATCCCAGAATTTATGAATATATTACTTTATATTGAAAATAAACATTCAAATAAGGATAAGTAAAGGTCTTGCGATGAGATTATCCTGGATCTGGGTAGGCCTAATGTAATTACAGGCCTCCGTGTAAGAAGGGAGGCAGAGGTCAAAAAAAGAATGAAGAGATCAGATGACAGAAATAGAGGCTGGAGGAAGCAGCCACACTTTTAAGATGTAGGAAACAATGAGCCAAACAGTGTAAGCAGCTTCTTCAATCTGGAAAAGACAAGGAAAAATCCTCCCTAGCGTCTCCAGATGGAACACCACCCTAAAGATGAATTTTAAACTTCTGACCTCCAGAACTATAAGAGAATAAATTTGTGTTGCTTTAAGCCACTAGACATGTAGTAATTTGTTACAGCAGCATTAGAAAACTAATCCGATAACATTAATAAAAAATGTAAAAATAAAATGTCAGATAACAGTAGCATGAAGAATAGGGGAGGAGAGAAATGGAGGCATACAGTTTTAAGTTTCTTACTCTATTCACATATTGATATACTTATTTGAAAGTAGACTGTGTTAGGTTAAAGATGTACACTGAGCCCTAGGACAACAAGTGAATAGTCGAGATGAATAAAATTATAAAAAATATTCAATCCTGTCAAAGAAGGCAAGTAAAGAGAATAAACTACAAATAACAGAAGGGAAAAATAGAAAAATAACCCTATGACATAATTAAACCTAACCATTTTGAAAATTGCATTAAAATACTCTAAACTTTCTCATTAAAAATTAGACATTGCCATCCTGGATGAAAAAAAAAAAAAAGGCAAGATTTAGACTGCAATATAGATGTTAAGTGCTATGTTGTTATTCTCCTTGCTCAAAATAAAATTTTTTCTTTACTCTACCTGTCTGCTATGGTCTTGTAGTGGCCAGGCATATGCTTGATTTCATACATGTCAAAAAAAAAAAAGAAGGACACAACCATATAACATCTAAAAACAACAAGTAAAGCCACTTAATATACAAAGGTGAGTATATTAAAAGTAAAAAAGATGGGAAAAAATATCTACTTTGTTAAGATTAATTATAAGACAGCTGGAGTTATAATATAAATATTAAAAAAAAGATTTTAGAGGGAGAATAAAAAAGGATAAAGAGAAAAACCTTGTAATAATAAAAGGTCCATTTATCAAGAGGATGTTACTGTCCTAAAAATGAATGTACTTAGTAGCTGAGCTTCAAAATACATAAAGCACAAACTTGTAGAACCGAAAGAAAAAAATAAATGAATCCAAAATTAGAGTTGGATATTTTCAGTGCTTCTTTCTGAGTAATTCAGAGAATTATAATTAGACAGAATATAAAAAAATGATATAAAAGAATTCAATAACACAACATTCTTGAACAACTGAATCAGTATTTAGAAAATATTCCACCGAACAGCAGAATATACATTATTTGCAAATACAAGTGGAACATACATGTATTCTGAGCAATAAAAGTAGTTATATATTTAAAAGGAAAAAGCATGCAAAGTATATTCTCTTACCCAGTAAAATTAAACTAGATTCAATAACAAACATTATCTGGAAATCAAATGTTTAGAAATTAAACAATGCATTCTAAATAACTTATTGGTCAATGAAGAAATCATAAGGGAAATGAAAGAATACATTTAATTGAATAAAATTGAATGCATAGCATTTTAAATGTGGAGTGAAGCTAAAGTAGTTTTGAAGGAAAATTTATAGCATTTAAAGCAAGAAAGTTCTTAAATCATTGACTTTTGTTTTTACTTCAAGTAACCATAAAATAAGAAAAGAAAAATTAATCCAAAAACAATCAGAAGGAAGGACTACCAAGAAAAAGGGCAAGAGTAAATGAAATAGAAAACAGAAAAACAATGAAGTCAAAGAACCCTCAAACTGATCTTTTTTAAGTTCAATAAAATTTATAAACTTCAAATAAACTAATGAAAAAAATAATGGGAAGCCACACATGACTAATATCAGAATTTTAAAAGAGAGCATTACTAAAGATCCCACCACATTAAAATGATAAGTGAATATTTTTAATAATTTTATGTCAATTTAATAACTGAGATAAAAATAAGCACCTACCTCAAAATAACCTTTCTACCAAACCTCACTCATTAAAAAAAATACATAATCTATATAACACCATATATTTAAAATAATTGAATTTAAAGCTCAAAACTTGCCCACAAAGGAACTCTAAGCCCAAAAGACTTCACTGGTGAATTCTAACAATGATTTTAAAGAATAATACAATTCAACAACCTCTTCTAGGAAATAAGAGGATGTACTTCCCAGGTTATTTATGTGGGAGCATTAATCTAATTCCAAAATTAGAAAGTGTTATTACAAAAATAACACAAATATATGTGAACATAGATCCTAAAATAGTCATTCCAAATTTAACATATTCAATTCAGGCATGTATAAGAAATATCAGACATCATAACCAAGTCAAGTTTATCCTGGGAATACAAGGATGGTTTAATACAATAATCAGCCACTATAATTTACTCTATTAACAGACTAAAAAATAAAAAAAAAACAACAACATATAGCCATCTCAATAGACTCCAAATATATGCAGAAATAGCATTTATCAAAATTCAATATCCATTCATGTTAAAGGAATAACTCCGCAACTAGGTTGATAAAAGACACGTACAACTTTCATATGAACGCTTAGAGGTGAATGACTAAATATTTTCCCATAAGATCATAAAAAAGACAATAGTATTCATTGCCATCACTTGTAGAGAAAATTCTAGTGGAGATTCTTATGTCAATAGGGAAGAAAAAATAAAACTGCATGAATTGGAAATAACTAACATGTCTTTATTAATAGATAACGTGAGGATCTAAAAACTCCTAAGAAATATACAGAAAAAAAGATATGATAAATAGTGAATTTAGTAATATCACACTAAACAAAGTCAACATGCAAAATTAGGCTATATTTTATATAATGTCAATGAACAACTGAAAGCTGAAATAAAAATATACCATGTACGATCGCTTCAAAAATAATGAAATTCTTAGGAGTAAATTTTAATAACACATATACAAGATCAAGACACTGAAAGATTACAATTCATTGCTGATAGATAGTAAAGAAAACTTAAATAAGTGGAGAGAAATTCTATATTCATAAATTGAAAGATACAATGATCTCAAGGTGTCAGTTATCTTTAATTCATTTTGTAGATTCAATACAAATTCAATTAATTCCCAGAAAGCTTTCTTTTTTAAAATTAAAAAGCTGATTCTATAATGTATATGGAAATATAGAGGACCTAGAATGGTCACCAATTACTGATATATGACATCATGGATGAATCTCAAAACAATATACTAATTGACAAAAACACATAAAGACCACGTATTGTATGGATTCTATTTATATAAAATTCTAGAAAAAGAAAAATTATAGTGAAAGAAAGCACATCAATGGCCGTAAAGAATGAGGGCTGGGAAGATAGGATTAATTACACAGGAGCACGAGTGAAACTTGAGGATATAGTAATGTTATCTACCATGATTTTGTTGATTAAACAACCATGCGTATTCGTCAAAATTCATTGACTTGTACGTATAAAATAAATAAATTTGTAATATGTTAACATACCTCAATAAGCTGATTTAAAATAATTTGATTAAAAATTTGTTTGAGGAAACCAATTTGATATATAATTTAAGGATTTTGACATGGAATTTGAAAAACAAATCTACCTTAACATTTTCTATGAATACATGACCCTGAATAAATAAGTGAAAGAATGAGTAGATGAGTGTTGAATAGTTGATGAATAGATGAATAATTGAGAGTATGTGAGAGTATGGAAACAGAGCAGGAGCAATAGTGATTGCTCACAATCAGAGGACAATATTTACTTGTAGCTTTGATGTAATCATATTTAGGAATTACACAAAAATACCTTTTATGAATGTGTGTATGAGAGAGCCAAAAGAGCAATTTTATTAACCAAATCAACGGATTCAAGCAAGTTCATTAGCTCTACTCAGATGAAAGTAGAGAAAAGGAATTTTTTTCACTTAAGAACAAAATTTTTGATTGTAAAAGAATGCAGAGTACCAATATTTCATATGCACAAACAATTTCCCTAAATACCGATTTAGCTACATTTATATTAAAATGATACTGATAAAATATCTCACAAATGTAATATTTTCCATATATGGGTACAGTGGTTGAAACCTCCATATGGCAAGCAAAGTCAAAAATAGCTAATATTATAATAGAAAACATACAATCATTTACCAGGAAGACTATTTAGACATGCTCCTTTCCAAACATCGCTCCCATCTCCTTTTATAGATTATAAAGTGAATATTTAGAAATGTATATTCACTTACCTAAATTCATAGTGTGGCAGAGCCTAGCCAAAACTGTGTTTTTACCAGTATGTTCTTTATACAATACTGCACTACCTCTTCTATTCAAAAACATGATTCAATTGGGAATAAGCAATGCTGACATTATAGACTGTATCTCTAAGCACCTCCCGGGAAATCACAAACTTACTCCTCAGATTTAGAGCAGTCCCTGGAGCAGATTTGTAGTTTTCTGTCAAATGCAACAAGTCTTTCACCACTCAAATTATACCTTCCTCACACATTTTCAAAGTTGAAAAATCGTGGATCCCAGCAACAACTGGCAACAAGAATAGAGTATAAAACATACCCAAGACTTACAGTGAAACTAGATGTTGAAGGCATAAAAAGCCAAGATTGCAATGTATGAATAATAGACATATAGTAGTCTTTCAACACGGTGTTAAACTATAGAACATTGAAATGGATAAAATGCTCTTTAATTCATTTACAGGGATAACTAAATTGTTATCTAAATATCATTGACATCTTGTTACTGTACAAATGTGGTATGTTGTACCCTTTTGAAAGAATATATTTTAAGTAAATTCAGAACATATCACAAATTTAATCACTTCATAAAATATTTACTTAGCAATATAGGACAAAGTGAGGACGTTTGCAAAATAGTATAGTATATACATTTGTCTTGGAAAAATATCTTTGGCTAGCCCTTTTCTGTAACAGTTTGAATGCAAAGTAAGTTACCATAATAAATACTTTATGTCCTTCAGAATGTTTTAGTGACAATTTCTGTGGTATTGGAAGGAGACTATATGAAATAAATGTGCTTGGATGGATTATTTTGTTTTTGTTGTTCAGAATACTTGAGGGAATTATTATGGTTGTAATGTGAAGAAAGGAATGAGTTCAAAGGTAGTCATCGTGGGTATTAAATAATTTTAAGTATCATGCATCGAATATAGTATTTCTAAAAGGATATATTTTTATACAATTTAAAGATGCAGAAATAGAAATGGCAAAAAAAAATAAAAATAAAAAAACACACACACACACCAAAATCATCACAGAAAGTCAGAATTCTGAATGAAGCCTCTCTTAGTTCTGATTTGCTAATGTCCTCGAGGGGTGTTAGAAAGGATACCCATGGGCAAGTTTCTTTTGTGGGAAAGGGTTCTTGTGGTTAATGCTATGAGTCAGCCTGGTTAGGCCATGATACCCAGATATTTGGCCATACACTGGTCTCAACATTGCTATAAAGGTATTTTTTAGATGAGATTAATATTCAAATTAGTAGACTTTATATAAAAAGTAGATTACCCTCCATAATATGGATGGGAAAAGACTGACTCACTCAAAGAGGAAATTCTGTGGGTCTGAAACATGAACTGCTCCCTGAATCTACATTTTCATAGCCTTCTCTGCAAATTTTGGACTTGCCAGCCTCCCTCCACAATTGTGTGAGAGCAGCTTCCTTCAATTCCTTAAAACTCAGTCTCTCTCTCTCTCTCTCTCTCTCTTTCTCTCTCTTTCGCTTTCCTTTTGCATTCTCTACACACACACACAC